TGGACAGCGGGATGGGTGGACAGGGGGATGGGTGGACAGCGGGATGGGTGGACAGGGGGATGGGTGGACAGCGGGATGGGTGGACAGCGGGATGGGTGGATGGGGATGGGTGGACAGCGGGATGGGTAGACAGGGGGATGGCTGGACAGCGGGATGGCTGGACAGCAGGATGGGTGGACAGGGTTGCCCTTCCTGGGAGCGAGGCCGGCTCGTAGGCATCGGTGTGTCAGCATGTGAGTGAGACGGCCTCTTCCTGGAGGACTCGCACTCCCACAGAAGGACGGGACGAGAATGCCCCGGCCCAAGGGTCCTGCCTGGAGAGTGTGGAGTGGCACTTGGAGAGACCGGGCTGCCCTCCCTTGTCCCTAGGGTGGAGGGAGGGGCTCCAGGAGCCCCCGGAAGTGGTTGGAGGCTGGGAGTCCGGCCATCCATGGCAGGGCGTAGGGTGCAGGCCCTGTCCTGCCCTGAGCTCTGTGGTCTTTCCATAGCGTTGTGTCCCCACGCCATCGCTCAGCAGCGCCTGGAGGCCCTGCGCCACCTGTGCCATGAGCATTTTGTGGAGGTGCGTGTGCCCTGCTTAGAGCCCGCTCTGGGGTGGGGAGGAGGGGGCCATGCTCCGGGTGGGACAGTGTCTCCAGCTTCTAGAATTGTCCCTCACTCTTGCAGGGCAGCTGGTCTCGGGAGAACTGGACTGAGCATGTGCAGGTGAGTCTGGAGGGTGCTGGTGACCTACGTGAGGACCTGGACCCCGAGATCGTGTGTGCACACGTGCAGACTGGGCGTGGGGTGCACACTTGACGTGTGCGTGCCGCGGCCCAGACAGCTTTCCCGTTGGCCACAGGCTGGGTCAGGTCCCCCGGTGTCCCTGGCGGGTTGGGTAGCAGGTGGTATAGAGAAAGGGCTTCTCCCTTCCCAGCATAGGTTCCTGGATGAGGATCCAGACACGGAGCCTCAGGGCCGCCCACCCTGCTCCGAAGCTCCGAGAGGCAGATCCCGACGGGTCAGCTTCGTGTGAGGGCCCCACCCGGGTGAGGCGGGGCCAGAGCGGCTAGGGGGCCTGGACCCTCCTTTAGCCCTCAGTGGACAGAGCCCCAGGCGTTGGAGGACACGAGGTTTGCTGGAGGCACCACAGTGTTGCCCAAGGGAATATTCTAGACCACCTTTGAGCATTGTCCTGGTCCAGGGCTCTGTGCCCCCTGAGCCCCAGCCCTGAGAAGGAGGCAGCTGCCCCTTGGGGGCTGCGGGGGTATAGAGGAGGCTGGACTGCAAAGCCGCTCCTGGGCGTGGGGACTCCAGAGCCCACGCGGACGGCAGCCTGGACGGGACGGTCTACTACCTTCCGTCCTCAGGCATGAGCTGGCTCGTCGTGGACAGAGAGCTGTCCCCAGCCCTAGGTGAAGCCACTCTGGAGGGCAGTGGGGGTGTGAGGGGTCCCAGGGGCAGCATGCATGGCACCATGGGCCATTTGGTGGGCAGGGGACACCCCCCCCCCCCGGGATAGTCTGGCATCGGGCATCCAGCGGGGGGCAGCCCTGAGCCAGCCCTGGAGTGCTGGGTGTGTGGGGTGGGTGGTGAGTCACCGGAGAGGAACGTGGACCCCCAGGGAAGGCCCGGAAGGCTGGTCCCCCCTGGGTGCCAAGGCTGAGGCAGCCGGAAGGGCAGCGGATATCCTGAAGAATGCGGAGGGTTTCCGCATATTGTCCACGTGGGAACCCGCAGCCTTTGGGAAGCGGATGGCCTGAGGCTGCTGGGGCAACAGGGTCGTCTGGGAGGGGCCCAGCCTGTCAGCCAGCTGGGGCTCCTCGGGCCAGAGATCAGGAAGGAGAGAGGCTCAGCCTCCCGGGAGGACGGGGTCCAGTCCCCTCCCACCTGAGTTACAGCAGCCTCTGACCTTGTGGACCCAGGGACTCAGCCAGGACGGAAACCCTCCTTCGGGGCCCTGGTGGTGCAGGTGGCCCCTGGGTGTCCCGAGACTGAGCTGACATGGGTGGGACACCCAGGGGCCGCCTGGGTCCCTCTGCTTCTGTGCTGGCCACTGGTGTGGGAGACACAGCCTGGTGAGGCCCCATGTTCATTGCTACCCCGAGGGCTGCTCGTCTGTGTCCACTCTCTGGACTGTGGATTCAGGAGTGTCGCACGGGCCCACCTTCCCCTGAGAATGTTGGCCAACCCAGGGGCGGGGGCGAGGAGACCTGAGGGCAGCCCCAGGCTCAGGAGCAGGCCCCACCATGCGAGGGCGGAGAGGAGCAGAGCCAGACAACGTTCTAGAAGGATAGGGCTGGTCCCAGGTCTGGGGGCAGGACTGTGTGGGACTAGGGCATAGAGACGGACAGATGGGGCGAGGCCATTGGGCTGGGCTGTGGACACAGGACGGCGAGCCTTCAACCCAGCCATGCAGGGGGCCCTCGCTCAACTGCGGGGTCGGCACAGAGCCACGGGCGTGGGAGCTTCTGTGGCCTTCCTTCAGGGCACAGCCCCCTGTTTAGGGACTTGTGAGGTCTGGCGGGGTGGGAGGACCTGGGGGACTGTCCACTCCCTGTCAGGGCAGAGCCAGGCTGCACAGCCCCTCCCGCGTGCCTCGCAGGCCCTGGTGGGACAGGACGAGCTGCTGCAGTGGCTGGCCTCTCCCGACAACCAGGCCGTAGCTGCCCAGTGCGTCCTGGACCTCTCGCTGCCTGAGGCGCAGCTGCCAGCCTCGGTGGCTGCTGAGCTCCGCTGGCTCAAACTCCAGGGGCGGTAAGCACCCCAGGCTTGGCAGGCCAGTGAGGGGAGCAGGCGCTTGGGCCCCCATCCCTTGGCAAGTGGCCCCGTGAGGCCCATATGTCAGCAGTTTGGGGAAGGACACTGCCAGCCCCCGACGTGCCTCCAGAGCCCTCCCCGCCACCTCTCCAAGGTCTGCCCTGGGCCAGCTGGGCCGGAAAGGGCTGGGCTGGGGAGGGGGGGCTGGTGCAGAGACCCACAGCCATGCTTCTTGTAGGGCTGCTGAGGTGCGTTCCAAGAGCCAAAGGGATGATTTCTACCAGCTGCCCATCGCCAGCGGGGACATCCATTTCCTGGCCTCCTGGGAGGACCTAGCCAGGCATGAGGAGGAGCTCCTACAGGTGGGTGGCTGGCTCTGGGGGCTCTGTCCACACCGTGAACCATGAGGCCCTCCATCCCACCCCCCAAACGCCCCCGTAGAGCCGGGCACTCATACCAGACCATCTGGGAGACTCCGGGCCTAAAGCGCCAGCACTGGGTACTTGCCCACGGCCGTTAAGCTCTGGCCCCCCACTTAGGGCAGCTCCACACCTGTGCCACGGCTGGTCTGCACCGGAGGAGGCCAGAAGGAGTCCTTTGTCCCCTTCTGTGTGGAACAAGGGGCAGCCAAGGGCCAGGCCCAGCCCCGGTCCCATAGGATCCCACAGGGTGGTCAGGCCGCCCCAGCAGACTGCCTCCCTTTGACTTCACCATCAGCGGGGCCGTACCCTCAGCCCCAGGCCTGTGGCCCCCGGGTGGGCCTCACCGGCTCATCCCAGCTCTCTACAGCCCGGCCAGGTGCTCGCTGTGGACCTGGAGTGGCGACCCTCGTTTGGCACAGGGGCCGGCCCCAGGCGTCCATCCTGCAGCTGGCGGTGAAGGGCCGTGTGTTCCTGCTGGATCTGCCCGTGCTCTCACGGCCAGTGGGAGGGCAGGTGTCCCAGGCCTTCTCCAGGCTGGTCTCCCAGATGCTCTCGGATCCCTCCGTCACTAAGGTGGGTAAGCAGAGCTCCTGCCACCCCAGGGGAGGGTGCTGGCGTGAGGCCGGGGCCCCTTCCTTGGGTGCCCATCACACGGACCGCCCTCCCCGCAGGTTACAGGATGTCAGGGGACCTTCGGAGCCTGGGTGCTTCCTGCCCTGCCCTCGCGCGCGTGGAGGAGCAGCTGTGGGGCGGTCTAGATCTGCTGCAGGTGCACAGACAGGTCAGCAGGGCCGGGGGCGGGGTGGGGCCCTGAGCACCGGCGTCTGTGGAGTACTCGGGCCTCCGAGCATCTTGCAGTTGCCCAGGTCACCAGGGCCCTCCCAGGAGTGGGTGTCACCACATGTCCCCACATTTTCCCCAGAACCAGCCCTGCTTCGGGCCCCTCGGAGTTCTCAGCACATTTAGGGGACTAAGCTGTTAGCCCCAGAGCTGACCTGCGGGCGGGTCACCGCGGTTCTGAGTCCCTGCGCCTGCCTGCCGGGGCGTCTGTGTCCTTCCTTCTGTGCGCGGCGGCTGTCGAGGCTGAGGGCCTTCCCCAGGCAGGGTCCCTTTGTGCGACAGTGGCGGCACGAGTGGCGGCCACCCCTCCTCCAGGCAGGCCCCTCACCCCGAGAGGCTCTGTCTTGGCAGATGCGGGTGGGAGACAAGCCAGCTCTAGGCAGAGGTGAGGCCAGGGGGCTGCGGGGCCTCAGCCTCCTGGCGCAGCAGGTTCTGGGCAAGCCCCTGGACAAGGCGCAGCAGCTCTCTCACTGGGACCGGCGGCCGCTGAGCGAGGGGCAGCTGGTGTACGCAGGTGCGCACCCTCTCCCTTCCCGCACACGCCCCTGCCCCACAGCCCCGCGCCCCCCAGCTGGAGGCTAAGACTGCCCCATGCCCCCCAGCTGCTGATGCCTACTGCCTGCTGGAGGTGTACCAGGCTCTGTGCAGAGACCCTGCCCGGTTCTGCCTGTCTGAGGACCTGGCCAGGAGCCTGAGGCCAGCAAGCAGTGAGAGGTCAGAGGCCTGGGAGCCGCCCGGCCTGCAGGAGGCCTCAGCCTTGGCTTGGCCGGTGAGTGTGGCCCCTCAGGTCCCTTCCCTCGAGTTCTCAGGAAGACTCACTGTCCTTAGAATGAGGTCCTTACAAGGGAGGAGGCCTGGGGTGGGGGCGGTCAGCTGCTTCCAAGAGGGCCTGGGTCCCTCCACCCGGAGAGAAGCAGGGCCCCAGGCCAGTGTCCTGCAGGAGGAGTCCCCAGCCCTCTCCGGATGCCAGGCCTGAGCTGCTCCCGCTGAGGTCCAGGGCAGTATCTGGCGTGCACCCTGAGCCCCTTGCCCTGGTGCACAAATCCCCCACCCCCCAGACCCGTGCAGAAGCCCTGCTGGGGCCCCGGGGGCAGTGGTCGTGCATCATTGTGTTAGTCTGTTCAGCTCTTTCCTGCACTGAGCACAACGGCTCCCGATTCTTCTCAGGGTCGGCCCTCAGAGCTCTCACCCCCATCAAGACCAGGGAGGGGGTCAGGGGCCCGCGGGCTGCTGAGCCAAGCCGTGTGGCAGGAGCCTGTGGCTGAGAAGCAGGACGCCGCCCCCGAGGTCCCTGTCAGGGCCTTCTGTGCAGTGTGTGACAGCATGCTCCATGGGCTGGCCCGGAGCCTGCGATGCCTGGGGGCCGACGTGCTGACACTGGGCGCCGGCGAGGACCACCGCAGGGCTGTGGAGGTGAGTGGGGCCTCGTGCCCACCCACCTGGGGCTCCGGGCCCTTCTGTCTCCCTGTCCTTTGGGAGCAGCAGTCGTGTCTGAAGTTTTCGGGGTGGAGGACGGGGCTCCCCTGGGTCCAGGGCTGCCCGGCCCTGGGGTCTGCCGGCGGGAACCGTCTCTGCTCCTTTGGGCAGGCCCCCACCGTCTGCTCCTTGTCCTGTGGCCCCTGGAGACACTGCACAGAAGGGGGCTGTGCTCGCAGCCATGGTGGGGCCCTGCTTGGGGGGACATCAGCCCCCGGGGCCACGGAGAGAACCTGGGTGGGGGGGGGTCTCAGAATTCTGGGGTTGGGATGTGGCGTGTGGGGGCAAAGCCACACACGGGTGCCCCAGCTGAGTGTTCCATCCGCCGGCCTTCTGCCCAACCACAACCAGCCACAGCCGCTCTGAGGACATTTGCTCGGCCGTGGTTGCTGTTCCGCCCGCGCTGGCCTCGTTCGTTCGCCGCCGCGCTTTCGGGGCTCATGGTCATTGTAGCGTGTGTTTGTGCTTCACTCCGTCTTGGGGCCCCGTAGTGCTCCGTTCACAGTGGACCGTGGCAGTGTCCCCACCCTCCCTGCGTGAGGGACAGTCACCTGGGCTGCTTCTAGCGATGCCGCGTGACACACAGAGCTGCCGTGTCACGGTTATTGTTCGTATGTGGTTTCTTCTGTGCGCTTGCAAACGTGTCTGACAGAGGGGCCCCCGGCTCAGCAGCTGGCAGGTTGCCGCACCAAGACCACAGAGCCGCGGGCCTGGTCTGCCACCAGGGTCCTGCGGCAAAGGGGGTCATGGCTCTCGCCCATCTGCGCCGGGCCCAGGTGCCCCGATGCCGCCAGCCCACGAGGGCGGGCACTTCCTGCCGCCCAACCCCCACCGATGCAGAGGCCAAAGCCAGGAGAGCAGCGGGGACCTGCCCTGTGCCGGCTGCCCCCCCCCACCGCCCCAGTGCTGAGGCTGCAGGAGGGAGGGGCCAGAGCTGAAGGAGGACAGGCCCGGCCCGGCCAGCCGCGGACACTCACGACAGGATGCCGGCTCTCCCCCAGCTCTGGCCCCTCACGGGCTGTCTCTCCCACAGGCCTGGTCCTGGCGTCTGAGGGAGGAGGTGGTAGTGTCGGCCTAGCCCCGGCCACTGTCCTGGCACAGAACACCTGCTTCCAACCCTGGCTGAGCTGAGCCTGCGGGGGGCTGAGACCGAGGCGGCCAGCCTGGGGACTCCGCGCCAGGCCTTTCGGGTCACGGAATTCCAGAGCCGGGTGTGGGGGAGGTGCCCTCCCACTGGCCCCCGAGAGTTCACGGGGCTTCCAGCGAACCAGGGGCCGGGTTCGGCTTTCCTGCTCCTTACCCTGCTGTGTTTGACTTTCTACATCGCATGACAAATGGGATTTAAAGACATTAATTTACTAACCAACTGACCTTAAAATAGATTATTTTAAATGACTCAGGTGGGCCCAGTGTGGTCACATGAGCCTTTGGAGCAGAAACAGAAGGCAGGAGTCGGAGTCAGACCTGGGAAGGTGCCGGTGTGCCCGAGGCCCCATGTCAGGCAGGGGACTGGATCCTGCCGGCCTTGGGAGCCCAGAAGTGGGTTCTTCCCCAGAGCGCGGCTGCCGGCAGTCAGATTTTGACGTGAGCCCTAAGCAGGGAGCCAGCGGGACCGGCAGGACCAGCCTGCTGCAGAGCGGCACCGAGAGTTAGCAGCGGCTGCCATGCCGAGGAGCTTGGAAATCAAGTAGCGGCTGCAGGCTTGGGGGCTGGGGTCTCCCCGAGAGAAGTCTGGCCGGCCTTGGGGGACTGCAAGTGAAAGGCGCTGAGGGTGTGACATAGGCAGGGTCTGGAATGCGCAGCCAGCCCACACGGGACTAAAAACGCACAGACCTCCCCGTTCTTGGGGGCCCGGGAGGCGGTACTAGTGGGTGGTCATACTTGGTGCCACACCAGGGAGGTGTGACCCAGACCTGGGCCGTGGGCCGGTGTCAGCCATAGCTTCCAAAATCCCTTTAACTTGGTGCAAGTAGGCCTTTTGATCCAAGCTTTTAAGGAATTCTGGTTTTCAGTACATGTCTCCAGAGTGGGAGACTTCACGCCGCTCGTCAGCGGGTGTAGACGCTCTGGGCGGTGGAACAGGGCTGTGTCTTCTTGCAGCCGGGGGAGAGAGCACTTCTGGCAGTGGGAGCTGCTGGAACCTTACGCCGTTTGGTGTCCTCCTTTATGGATCTTTCCAAATCATGTGTTTCCCCATCAAACCTCCTGAGTCGATGAACTGTGTGTTTTGTACAAAAGCAGGTTGTCGAGGGCATGTGGGTGGCTCCGTTGGATCCGTGTCTGGCTTGGCACTGAGCGTGGAACCTGCCTAGGGTTCTCTCTCTCCCTCTGCCCCGGCCCCTTGTTCACACAGCTCTGTCTCCACTAAAAGAGAGAAAAGCAGGTTGTACGAAAGAGTGTGCCACATGCTATGCCATTCGTCTCATACGTGTTAGTACACTCACAAGCACGTTCTGGAAAAGAAAGGGCGCTCTGCCACTGAGGCCCAGGGACGTGGGGGGTGTGCTCCCTGCAGGGAGGTGGGCACTGAGGGAGCATGGTGGCACTGTGTCCCTCACTCGCCAGGCAGGCTGCCCACAATGGAGGAGGCCTCCACACCTGGGGCCTCGAGTGGGAGAGGACAGGGGTCAGCTGGGGAAGGTCTTGTCAGGCAATGCGGGAAGTCTCAGTCTGGTGCACGATGAGAGATGCTGAAACCAAGTGCTTGATTCCAGAAGCGTGGCCTGCTGGAGGCTGGGCCTGGCCACACAGAGGACAGAGAATGAGTTTACGGAAGGCTAGTGGGGGTCTTGCTGGTCTCCACCAAGCCTGAGCCCGCAGTCCCTCTGTGGAAGCCAGAAAGCACAGAGGAAGTCTGTGTCCGTAGCGATCCCACGGCTTGTGACCTGCCCCTGACAGGCAGCGGACTTCCGGTGCACCTGGCCAGGTCCCCACTTACACCCCCAACGGCTGCTGCTTCCTGGGGTGACCCTCACTGACCCGCTGGGGCCAGAAGTGGTTCCCGAGGACGGTCTTCAGGATGCGGTCTCTGCATGGGGTTTGGGACCTCTGGCTTGGTCCTCGAGTCCAATGAGGTGGGAAAGCACTGTGTCCCATGGGAGCGGCGTCCCCAGTAGTCTGTGGCCCGCCCGTGGATGCCCGTAGCCGAGTGCCTGTAGAAGGAGAGATTCGGGTGAACATGCGTCCGCCACCTCCGGACGTTTTCGTCCAAGTGATGAGGATGTCGGCTTGGCGGCTGCTCTGACTGTGCCGGGCAAAGTGGCAGAGGAGGAATGGCTGTGGGCGCCGCGTTTCCCGCTCACGGTCGCATGGGGACTGAGAGCTTCTGTCTCTGCCCCAAGAGCGAGCCCCGGGCCGTCCCGCTGCGGGTAGCTGAGTGACGGCATGAGTCCCCTTTGCCACAGGGGCCCGCCCGCCCGTCTCGGGCATCTTTTGCCACGTTTACCAGCCGCCGGGCCTCCAGTTCCGTGTGGAGCTTCATGAGGAAATTGCTGAGCCCGACGCGGTCCTTAGCACCGCCTGCCTGCGAGGCGGGTCCCCGGCCCAAGGGGGTGGCTCCTGCACACAGCGTGTCTGTCCGGGAGTCGGCATCCGGGTGCCTGCGGGGGTGCCTGTGTGCCCAGCACCGGGACAGGCCTCCCGCGCCCCGTGTCCGCGGCTGTCCCCAGAGATGGCGCTCCCTGTGGCGCGGCCGTGTAGGGGCGGAGTGGGACGGCAGCACTGCCCCGGGGGCTCCTTGTGCCTCTCGTCCGTGCGCTGATTGTGCCCCGTGAGCGTGACTCCACGCTGAGTCCTCCTGCGGACCCTCAGCACGTCTCCCCAAGTCTTGCCTGGGACCTCTGGCTTTCCTCTTCATCTTGGCCGCAGACAGGGTGAGCCTGTGGCCCGTCCCATAGGAGCAGCCGGGCCATGAGGCTTCGCTCAGAGCCGCGTTGACCATGAACCCCGGGGGGGGGGGGCGCGTGTTCACAATACCCCGCCTTCCGCCCGCGAGCACGGGTCTCCGTCCTCTCCCGTGAACACGGGTCGTGACCTCCTCCACAAGCGCCTGTGCCTCGTTGGTCAGAGCTGCCCCAGGAACTTGGCCTAAGGGCTGGTCTCCCACCCAGAAACCTGACAGAAGTGCCCTCAGTCCTGCCCAAGCGGCTGCCAGCACCTCGGGGACGCGCCACCCACAAACGGCGACACTTTTCTTCCTTCCTTTCCAACTCTTCCAGTTTCTGGGTTTTCCCTGTTCCCGTCATGTTCACTCAGACGTTGGCTCCAAGATAGTGGCGCCCAGGAGCAGAAGGGGGGCCGTCCTCACCCCGCTTCCTTGGGCCGAAGTAGGGTGGCAGCTGCAGACCCAGGCCAGCCAAGGATGCCCTCCTGCTGCCGGTCCCCACAGCCACTCAGATAACCACAGAGGCCTGTTCCCTTTCCTGTGACACTGTGACCGGGGGCATCCTTCATTCCGGCCAGACCTTGCACGTCCAGGTTGAACCCATCTCGGCCTGACCTGTGACCCTTTTCTGACACCCCTGGCTGTGGTTTCAAGTTCTCTCTTTTTTTTTTTTTTTAAGATTTTATTTATTTATTTGACAGACAGAGATCACAAGTAGGCAGAGAGGCAGGCTTTGATCCCTTCCTGATCAAAACTCTTCAAAGTGTAGGGATAGAGGGCACATACCTCAATATTATCAAAGCCATCTATGAAAAACCCACTGCAAATATCATTCTTAATGGAGAAAAACCGAAAGCTTTTCCGCTAAGGTCAGGAACAGGGCAGGGATGTCCATTATCACCACTGCTATTCAACATAGTACTAGAAGTCCTAGCCTCAGCCATCAGACAACAAAAGGAAACTAAAGGCATCCAAATCGGCAAAGAAGAAGTCAAACTGTCACTCTTCGCAGATGATATGATACTATATGTGGAAAACCCAAAAGACTCCACTC